CCCCACACGCCTTCTTCTGCAATCAACGCAACTTCTATAACTCAGGAAGCAGGATGCTTAAGCCCCTCAGATCAAGACAAGTCTGGGCTGAGAGAGATAGAATGTCGGAAATAAATCCTCACAGGAACAACAGAGTACCATCTCATGCTAACCAGCTCTGTAATGGGTCACTTTTAAGGACAAGCGGGCTGACCAAGATTTCGGGGGTTCCCAGAAATCTTGACCAACACCAAAAGTTGGGGATTACCCTACCAATAGGAGAAGTTTGGTTTCATTGGTCCGTATGTATGTTTGGTTACAGAGAAAACTCTCCTTCTCTTTTAAAGAAACTGAAGAAGGGTCCAAAAACTTTAACGTCGACTTTTATCAAAACAGCATTTTTTGGGGAAAGCCCGTTGTGTCTCTTTAAATCCTGAGTTTTCCCCACCATTTCCGGGAGTTTTTTCAACAGTCACCTTAACCTGGTGCACTACTTTACATAATAACCCCCAGAGCTTGGCTCCATCTTCTAAAATATGGCGGAATCGAAGGCTTGGTCATTACAACAAAAAATCTAGGATCGGGAATAGTTCCGAAAAACAAGAAAAATCCAGCACTAAATGAAGCGAAACAGATGGGTTGTCGCTAATAGCAGACGCCCACAGAGTCTAATGGGGGAAAGGGTTTGTAGTATTTATCTCATGTTAACTTTCACTTCCAACGGCGTAGATCTCGTGGATCCCCGGGCGCCCGGCGACTGCTGTGTGTTCTCTCTGTTACGGTTAGGACTGACGCTCTCTCTTCTCACGTTGAGTTTTTAGTCTCCCGTCGATCTTGTTTGTACTCATCAGTGCACGGGGAAAAACTGCTGCCCGTGCACAACCAATTGGCCAGAAAGTCGCTCCCAAAACTAGTCAAGTTTTGGAGACGTGAAAGGCTAAAATATTGGCCCTACAGGTTAATACAACCGGAAGTTCCCAGTGTCCGATGGCGTTTGAAACTTTTGCAGTCACACAGCCAGCAGTACAAAATACCCCATCTGGTCACCCAGCCAGGAGAGTGACTGCAACGGAACTCTGGGGCCGGGCCTGGCCAGGGTAGAACTGAGCCAGGTGACCGGGACGGATAATTGGTCGCTTTTAAGCACAAGGGGGCTATCCCCAAAAATGCTGTTTTGAGAGAATCGAAGATAAAGTTTTTGCCCCTTGTTCAGTTTCTTTAAAAGACAAGGAACGTTTTATTTATATCTAAACAAATATACACACCGATGAAACCAAACTTCTTCTGTAGGTAGGGTTATGCCCACTTTTGGTGTAGGTTAAGATTTCTGGAAACCCCCGAAATCTGGGTTAGCCCGCTTGTCCTTAAAAGCGACCAATTTTCACCGGTGCGTTATTGCGTCAAATTTACTGCAAAATATCAACGAGCTTAAAACGACCAATTGTTTTCTTGGTATTGTCGTGTTCCAGTGTCCGGAACTGACACCCTGTCTCCGTGTGGTATGAAAGTTGCCGACTGCGTCACCGACCTCAGGAAGGTGGAGACTGCATCCAAGGAGAACAACAAGAAACTCGTGTGCAGGTAAGAAAGTGATGTTCAAAGCGTTCTAAGGTTAGGTGTGGTCAACCCTTCTATATTATGCAGTTACAAGCGCCGTAAAAACCTCTACTAAAACAAACAAAACAAAACAAACCTTTCTGTAGGGCTTTAATTCATTCAGAAGGCAGGATGATTCTTCATTTAACCCTGCATCCAGATCAAGAGCAGTCTGGATTGAGAGAGGTCCCCAGCAAATAGACGAAGTGACTTAATCCTCCCTTCTCCCCCTCCCCATCCTGCTACACACACACACACACACACACACACACACACACACACACACGCTCTCTCTCTCTCTCTCTCTCTCTCTCTCTCTCTCTCTCTCTCTCTCTCTCACACACACACACACACACACACACACACACACACAATCAACCATCTCTCCACAACGGAATTGAACTCCCCTCCAACCCTGCCTGCCAGTACCGACCCGGCCAGAGAGGGTGGTTGCCGGGTGCTCTGGTGTGGTTTGCTCCTTTTTTCCTACCAAACATCTATCGTCCTGATCTCTTCTCCTTCTTTTTTGTGTTTGTTACTCTCTTGTAACACCTCAAATCTTCGGCCCTTATTTGACGGTATTGCGTTGCAAGTGCCGTAAAACTCTTACAAGACCTAAAACTGAGATGGATACATACAAACAACATTAAGCAGAAAAAAGGTGATTCATGAGACAAATTCTCTCCCCACACGGGAATCGAACTCGGATTGTGAATGGCTGTGAATAACCGGGAAATCAAAAAATAATACATAGCATTTGTACTCTGCATTGGCTTCCTGTTTAGAAACGAACTGTATACAAGTTGGCCACTCTATGTCATAAATGTTTGCATGATAATGCGCCATCATAGTTATCAAATTTGTAAAGACTGTGCATTCCAACTCGCAATTTAAGGTCATCAGCTGACAAAAAGAAATTTATTTTACCATCTATGGAACTTAAAACAATGGGTGAAAGGGCATTTGAATACCAAGGCCCCAAGATCTGGAATGCTTTACCAAGTACTTTAAGACTGATCAAATATTTTGATTAATTCAAATGTCAGCTAAAGTCGTTTCTGTTTTTAAATTAATAAGATGAATATTTGGAGTGATTTTCTTTTAGTCTGAACTCAACGTTTTATGTTACTGTTGTACGTTGTACAGTATAATAATGCGCTCAGAGCCTGTGTACTTTAATCGGGGTTGAGCGCTATATAAATGTCATTTATCATTATTATTATTATTATTCCTCTCAACAGCAAGCTCTATGCACTTTATAATTATTACCCCAGAAGACCTGATAGCATTCTGACACAACCTCAACTTTCTGGGAACCATACAGTGCAAGGTGCCATTTTTATGGGAGCTAAAACACTAACACACTGACAAGATCTTCCGTTGCCAATGGTTGGGTACCCATTCCCACCTGGGTGAAGTGAGGAATGTTCCTGTTTGCCTTTCTCAAGGACACGACCTCACAATTACTAGTCCGGCAGCCTAGCCGCAAGACTGCCGACGTCACAATTTACCGAAGGCAGCGAAAATGAAATAGAAGCAAAAGAAATGTGGTTGCTTAGGAGGTATTGGCAAGTTTTAGTTGTTTTTAAAAAAGTTTTAGTAGAGGTTTTACGGAGCTCGCAACTGCATAAGGTCATATGAGCGCTAGAAGATTAGAGGTGTTACAAGACAGTAACAAACATGAAAAAGAAGAATGGGAGATACGGACGATAGATGTTTGATAGGAAAGAAGAAGCAAACCACCCCAGAGCTCCCGCCAACCACCCACTTGGCAAGTTTAATAGAAGGAAAAACAAAAAACAACAACAAACAAACAACAACAAAAACAAACAAAAGAAGACCCAATAAAAGCCAAACTGCTGTCTGTTGAGCGGGAGGACATTTGGGAGGCAGCGCGGTGGAATCAGGCTCTCGTCAATTTTTGGGCATGTAGAGTTATTGGTATCATCTTAAAGCTTGTTCACTTGCCTTTATTTAGATGGGGAAAAAAATCCAATTATTTTGAGTACAAGTCGAAAACTTTACGAAAAAAGGAGGTGGGGGGTCACCTGTTTTCAAAGGTAAAATTAGTTAGAAATGACCGCCAAAGATTAGTTATTTCCTTAGCTTAAGAGTCAGTGGTAACTGAAAATTTACATTTTTTGTGCCTTTAATCAACGTTTTTCAGAAAAATCCACACAGAAATGAATTATTTAATGGTCAT